TATCACCAAATTCAAAAGAGTCATCAATGAAATGCTACTCAATCAATGTTTTTACTCAGTCTCGGAATACTACGATCATTTAAGGGCAGTACTCGAGATGAAACATACTCACACCGGTATCGATTATACTGTGGTAGTTTGTAAATACCCCTATTAGCATAGGTGAATATTTATTTGTTTATATATGTACGTAGGCAACCCCGGCGTTGCTTGATATTTTTACATTTTCACAATTTACTTCCATGTTTTATATGTTTATTTAAGAATGCCTATACACCTGACTTGCTACAAACATGAAAATGTAACGTAGTTAATAAACTATTCTATTCTGTTTTCCCTCATATTTTCTTTGGAGAACTGAATCGATAAATGAGCGTTTGTCATCAGTTAGGCTCATCGATACTCAACCTAAAAGTCATAACATTTAATTTGCCTGAAAGTTAAGGTTTCTGAGATATTTGCGAAAAACTGAGGATATGTCCTGAGAAGATACATAGCATCCTCCGTGCAATAACCGCAATTATTAATGATTCACTATCATTTCATCTGACCCAAAGCATCATCCTAGGAGTTTTGAATTAGAATTTGTGAAGGACAATATGCCAAGCAACGAAAGATCGCCGTTCTACCTCTTTTTTGATAGAAAGAATTACTATTGCTATTCAACGTAGCAATGCAGCTTCGGTCCTTGGAACTATTCCTCCTTCACATAATTTTGATGAGATCATGCATTGCCCTAATTTCAGTACGGAAAAGAAATCTCTTCGAAATGAGCCGAGATATGTGGATATTCATCAGTCTCCTATCAAGGTTAATTCACAAGTGATTGATCCACCTTCTTCTTTTTCAGTGCGGTCAGAGGACTCAGGTCATTCTTGCCCCCCCAAATATGAGTTGCAGTCCTCGTAGAACTGGTTCCCTTTCAGTGGAAGAGCTTCATGAAGCAAGAGCCGAATCGATCCCTCTACGAAACCCTTCTTCACTTGGAAGGATCGATCGCAGCTTGAGAAATGGTTNGCAAGAGAAGCCATTTGTGGATATAATTTCCTTTATTGTCCAACAGGTAACACTTATTGTCATTTTACATTGAGGAAGTACGATTCTTATAAACTAAATATTGTCTTGTACAGCACATATTGTCAATGTTTCCAGCCTATACATTGTCAGGTCATACTCCCACATTAAGTAGATCAATTGGCCTTAGTCTATATTATGATCTAAAGAGTAATATGTAGAAGATGATATTCTTGATTTCATTTTTTTGATAATTGATAATTGATATTTGCTTGTGATATGCTAACATTTTTGTGATATGTTCTTGAAATCTCGAGGAACATGCCTGATATTATTCAAAGAATCAACCGTAGATTGATTTTCTGTATTAGTTTGCCATTAATAATTTATATTATAATAGAAAATTATTGTTATGTCACTGTTATTCAAAAACTTTATGAATATATCCATAGAGTCCATATTCAAAGTATATATATCATCATGAATTTTAGCTGAATTTCGAAATAGACTGAAAAATATCAACTATCAATATATTTTTTCTGATTTAATGAGATCTAGGATGATGAAACATTTTTCGCAGATAAAACACATTTTCTTTGGGTTGATATTTTTGTCGAGCATCCAACAGTGTTATCAATGGGTGTTGGGGGTTGGTGTTGACTTTGGTTTGCCCATCTGAGGTAATCGTCCTGAAATAGAAAGTTAATTTTTTTAATAATCATGTTTATACACTGAAGGAAACCAATCATAACTTCTACCTGAGTAACAGTACAAATAAAAAGCATGCATGGAGATATTCTAATTTATGAAGTTTATACGGTTTCTGGATCAGTTCTAGATATTTTCTTAATTCTATGCAAGTATAGTCGAAATAACTGATATTGTGCATTCTTAAAGTTGGCGGCACTACCAAAGGCAAAAAAAAAACAATACATAGAAATGAACTGGCAGCGAACTAGTCCACGTGTACTGAAGAATTGGCGGTTCGTATTGAATAATTTTCAGTAACCTAGTTTTGTGATTGGTGAGTAATTGAAATCGGGGAATGAGGGTATATGTTGAAATTCGATATTGGTGCAGTTATGATTACTCTAAACTTTTGTTATCTGTTTAAAACGTTGCGTCCTTGGACAAGTACTAATAGCAATAACGAGTGTGATAACAACGCTGACTCTTTCCAGTGTAGTGATTCCAATACGGATGGTGAACAATGCGAAAAAGAGATACCAGTGAATAGGATTCGGATGTATTTGAATATTGAAACAGATAGAGTATGTTTCAATGTATACAGCGTAACTCACGGTCGATGGTATGTTAGACGTTTCTGGAAAACGCAAAGCATGATTTTTCTGAAAATTCCACCTCTCACATTACCTTACCTGTTCTATCGATCTAAAATATTTTCAGCATTGCGGTGTTGCCACTTCAATCAAAAAGTCCTAGCAATTATATTTTTTTAAATAGAACACCCCGTATATTGATACATTTATGGAATCGCTCTGGTATTTTAATACATTTTCGTTGATAATGTCCTATGTTTATCTCTATCTGTTTTCGAGATAAAAAATAAATTGTGCTAAATATGGTCCAAAACATAGCCTTAATTGAAATTAAGTACATCAGTACTCTCAATTCATGAAAAGTTGATATTTTGATGATAGTTTGGACAAACTCGAAATATTCAAATAACACCAAGAAATCGACTCCATATCATACAGGGCGTGCTAAAATTACTATTATTTCCA